GAACAAAGTTGTTTTTTGCACAATGAACAATAACTTCCTTGTAGTTCCAGAAAGACTTAGTTTTTTCATGGTCAAAAGTAAATATGTTATGAAATGATGTCTAATTATGATTCTCTGTGTCACAGATGGTTTCTCACTGCCACTTGAGCCTACATCAAGTCTGTCCCCCATGGCAACTAGAAAAAAGCGGGGAGGGAAGGGTGCATTGCAAAAATGCTGAGATAATCAGGGAAAGTAAACTGCTATCTCTAAAGCAAAAGCAATGCACACACACACACACACACATACATATATGCGCAAATATATATACATAAAACAGAGTATATATAACTGAATTCAGAAGAAATCAAAGGATATAGCAACAGAAATGAAAAATAAGACAGAAAAAAAGAAAGAGATAAAATAGGAAAGTTTTTCCAAGGATCAGCATATTCTAACAACTCAAGACTAGTCCTTCATAAAGGCAATTTGCTTGCAGGGGCAGAAAAAGACTTGCATCAAAACCTTGGGATAAAGAAAGCTCCTAAGTCTCTGACTTCATGGTGAGGGGGGTTCCCAGTGCCATTTGATAATAATTTTTCTTAGCCACAGATCAGTTGTTCTAACAGGAGCTCCACATAACATCGACTAAGAAGCATTAGAAAATAGACCCCACCCTTAAATATACTGACATAATTGGTGTGGGTGTGGCACAAAGGATGGAACTCTCTATAGGGCAGGTCCCCCGGTGACTTGTGATGGAGAGCTCAAGGCTCAGAACCAACCCACTGTGTGATTAGTCAAGGGAAATTTTCTGATAAAGAAGCCATTCTTTAGTAAGTAATTAGAGCTTTGTGGTCTGTTACAATTATTCAACTTTGCTGTTGTAGCACAAAAGCAGCCATAGACAGAAAGTAAATAAATGAGTGTAATTTTTGCTCCAATGTGAGAGAATGAAAAGATGAAAATAAAGTGTTTATAGATGGGGAGGGGAGGAGGGGGTGAAGGGAGGGCAGAGGTAAGGGGAAAAAAATGAGAATCAAGACTTGCCATGTAAAGGTACATGATCCCAACAATGAATGTAACTGTACTGTATCCCTAAATGTACCAATAAACTCAATAAAAAAAATTTTATTAATAAAAAGTGGGCTGGTGGCCTGGATTTGGCCAAAGGCTGCAGTTTCTTTGTGTTTCTTCTCCACTTTCCCAAAATTGCTGTCTTTCACTTTTGCCATCTCTATGCCTCTGATATTCACAGATGATGTCACTGTACTTCAATGGGAAAATGGAGGTCATTCAGCAGCAAATCCTTCACCCGCAGATATGGTAAAGCTACATAGGCACCTGCAGTCATCTCTTTGCCTCCCAATATAGGAGCGTCCCTTCTTTTTAAGGTGCATCTAATTCTTTCAGCTACAGTTTTAAATCCATCACCCTCTCATCTCCTTTGGAACTCTACTCCACAAAGGGTCTACTGGCTCCTTTCCTTTTATTTAAATATACCCATGTCTTACCTTTAAACAGAACTCTCAAAGCCCTCATCAACCCTGCATTCTCCCCTAAATATTCCCCTATATTTTCCTTTCCCCTATGAATTCTATGCCTGTTGCCTCTTTTTCCGCTCTTCCCTCTTGACTCTTCCATCCACTACAGTCTGGCTCCTATCTCAACTAATCCACTGAAAGTGTTTTGGTCACAATCACCAAAGATCATATAGCAAATTCATAGTTCCTGTGGTACTTATTTTCTCTGCAGCATTTGACATTGCTGACTCCTCTTAAAACCCTCTCCCCATTTAGTTTTTTGCAATATCATTATATCACTGATCATTGCGATATCATTACTTTGCTATAATAATAATTAGTTCTTCTTCTGCTGGGTGCTTCCACATTGGTATTCCTTAGTACTATTCAATAAATTACCTTCTTATGCTACATATTTCTCAAATATTTCCGTGGTATGAAGCACCACCTGCCTGTGATAACTCCCAAGTTTTATCGGTAGCTCACAGTCCTTTCTTAAATTTAAGGTTGGTATTTCCATATACCTACTGCAAGCTGTACTGAGGTATTTTTTGCCCCACACCTGCCTTTTTTCTTTATACCTATTTGATTAATAGCTTTACTACAAACCCAAATGCTAAAGATCAAATTCTCTATCTCCCTCATGAGCCCTGATTATTCTCTGAACACTACTGTGCAAATATGTTAATAAGTCCCTACTTGAAGTCACTTTACTTCTATCCATGCAGTGGATGGCAAGCATACATGTTCAAGCATATATGTAGTCCTTCTTTCTTTCCAGATGCAATCAGCTGTCCTATCCTGATAATTTTACCTCTAAAATATCTGAGCAATCCATATCCTTGCAGACATTTATTTCCACTGCAACTACTTTAAGGTAGACTATAAACATCACTCACCAAGACTATTTGCAGTAAATTCTGAAGAGTATTTTTTACTTGCCTACACAGCAGTAGCCCCTTACTTTCTTCACATACTATTTCTCATTATATCATTGCCTTATTCCATCTTATACTACCTTTGCTAAAAGGCAGTTTTGCAAGGGAAAAGTGATCAAATTTTTGAGTGCCTTCTCCTGTTGAACATGCATAATATTTCATGGAGCTTTTTTGGTCATATCAACAAAGTCATTAGAATACAACTCTATCCCAATAGATTTGGGGTACCACATTTTAAATAAGATGAAGTAGAAAATTGAGTATCCACTAAGGGTGGTGATCAACAGGGTGAAGAGACTCCAAGCCATAATTAATAAGAAATAATGGTAAGAAATGGAACATTCATCCTAGAGAAGATTCAGACTTCTTTCCTGGAATAGAGTTATTTGGATACTGTTCTGTTCCCCTGTGTGAATGTCAGGATCATCAATCAGGCATTGTTCCTCCTTAATGAAAATATAGTATCTTTTCCTTAATAAGAAATGCTTACATAAAGTTCCTTTTCCTTAAATGGCAAATACATACAGAAATTTTCAAATTCTGCTGTCTACCAGCCTGCATATCATAGAAAGGAAACCATCAATCTATAAGGTTAATTCATTCCCCCCAGGAAGCCTTTTTTAGAAATGAATCCACATTAACATTTACCAATTTTCAGAATAGTGGTCAATCTGAATGTTTTTCAAAATCACGTCCCTAAATTTAATACTTAGTTTTCCTGAGTGGGGGTATCTGACATATTACCTATTTAAACAATTTTCCTATTCTGATTTAAACATTATGTATTTTAAAAATGGGAGTTTCTTTTAAAAATATTTTGCTGTAAGATGTTTCGTCAATTTCATCAATTCATCACAGCACCATAATCAGGACCACGACAGAGAGAAAAATTCTGAATGCTTTACCAGTAATTATTCCCTATGTCATTTGGCATTTCTTTCTCAAGAGCATGCCCATTATATTTCTTTTCCTTCTCATGTGTGCACATTAGTTTCAGAAAACACTTCTTTTCTTAAAAACCTACCTTTGCATCTGGTCCCGCTGATCTACATGTGATTATTTAAAATCATTATTAAGTTACCTTAATCTAACATGAGATTCTGAAAAATAAATCCCTTTTATCATTTATAATAGCATTATATTAATAATGATAGATTTCCTGATGTCTGCAAATCTTTCATGTAGTTAAAAAAAACCTTCATATATTAAGCAATGAGATGATTTAAACAGACTGAGAGGAATGCCGATAGCTTCCAGGGTTTGATGTGTATGCTAATAATTATCTCTTATCATGACATGAAGTAGGCTACATGGTTTAACAAATGAATGGGCCTGGTGTGGTCTTGCTCTTCTCTCACTCCTCTTTCTCATACTGGATTCTGGAAAACAGGATAAGAACATGGCTTCTACCATGTCCTCTAAGAAGCAGTCTATATGTCTGGCTTTGAAATAAATTCAGGGAATAAGAGAAAGCAAGAATGATTATAAGCAAATGTTTTACTTGCAGTTTGAGGCATATATTTTTATAGACATACTAAGAACCTTTAAGGCTAGCTAGTAGGAAGTTTGATAAGCAATTTTCTTCATTTTAAATATTCTATTCTCCTCCAATACAAGAATTCATACTAAAAACTAAAAAGTAGTCACGTATTAAATGGTCTCCTGTAATCCAAAAGCAGATGTAATGAGAATGAAATCCTGACTGCAGTACTATATCATATTGGCTTATATTTAAATGCGAAACACATCTTCAAAACTTTACTCTGGGCCCATGTTCTTTACTGAATTATAGTCTAGAATGTTTATAAATTCACCTGAAAGAAGCTTCATTTTTCTCTTTTCACTGCAAACTTGCAAGAAAAAGGCAAGCAGAAATCTGTATGTAAGAAGTGGAACCATAATTGACAGAAAAACTGTATATATTTATGAATTCCTAGAAGCCAGAAGTTTGCAGGCTTCCGGCACAAAATACTGAGAAAAAGAAATGTTGATTCCTCTAATTGAATCAGCACATTTTGTATGTATGTATTGAAATAGCACACTGTATCCTATAAATTGGTACATCTAAAATAATGACAAAATTTAAAGTACATAAGGCAGACAACAATTGTGCCAACTGAACAGACAAAGGAAAGTACAGAAGCACTTCTAGCACTGGCCTTCGTGTCCCAGGGTTGATCAGAGGGAGAAATGTCATTGATTTCTTGAAAAGTAAGCATGGACGAATACATGTCTAAGTTAAGAAATGGTTTTGTTTCTCACAAGTGCAAAGCAGGATAGCAAGGCAGACCATGTCATGCTACATAAAAACCCAAATAGCACTGTGTGCAAAATTCTTCAGTGATTTTTTTTTGTACTAAACATGCTAGTGTCAAATGACAGTAACTGGTAACAGCAACAGTTTTCACAAGACACGAATTGGTCCTTCCCACTGATAGATTTCTATTAAGAACAGTCTTCCTCTCATCACAGAAATCTGCACTGATACCACACAAATAGAGCATTTGCTTTCATGTCAGGTGAAAGCGAGAATAGCCAAAACATGCACACAAAGACTTACCGAGGTGTACAAATATCCCTCGCTGTTCATTGCCAAATACAGCTTGGTTTGAACTCCTTGAATAGCCACCACTCGCAGACCCACAGGGATGAGGTTAAACAGAGCTGAAAGTTAAAAGAATGTGAAACCAATGTTACAATTCTGAATTTTATGGTTTTTCAATGTTTTCAGTAGGACTGCTTGGTCCTCCAGAGTAGTATGCACTTGCTAAGAACAAACAGGTATATATTTAGACACATAAAGATAAAGCCTAGTTCTTGTTGCAGTCACTTTGGGACAATGGAAGACTTTGTGTCCCAATTCTTGTTTTTTATAGTGTCAGAGGTGGGGAGCCTTCATTCTTCTTGGGAGATCAAGTTATAGGAATTGGTTTCTACACTAAACACTGTCATCTTCTACAAACTGAAGTCTTCAACTCTTCCCTTAAATAGCTGCTGAAATTCTCACCAGCACAGTTAAGATCAGTAGAGGAGTAATTCTTAGGAGAGACAGTAGTTTAATGCCCTTGTCTGATTTATCTACATCACTTCCAATGCAAAACCTCAAAAATAAGTCTAGGCCTTGGAAAAGAGTCACATTTTATAATCCCGTGTTCCTAATGTTCCTCCTAATTTTTAGTCTCCAAGAGCAAAGGTTATATGAATGAAAAGTAATAAGTGAAAGAGGTGTTTCAATGTGTTTTTTCTGAAAACTGGTGGCAAGTAGGCAACCGATGTGTTTCAGTCAGGCCTTAATTTCTCCATTTGAAGATCTGACTGAGTGAAACTTACACCCAAGCTCTGCTCACAACCACACACCACTCACTGGAGACAAGCAGTGGGTGCCCTCCCACTACCAGCTGTCTATTCCCTCCCACACAGTGAATAAAAATAAAACAGTACATTTTTAAATCATAGTGCTTGCCACACACATTTTTTGAAAATAGCCTGGGCACCTTGCTCTCAAGAGCCATCAACCAACGCTGCTGATTTTTTCCTTATTTTGCAAGTTTTTTGAGGCTCATATATCAGTCTGGTATTTCTGTTATATGTAAAGGAGTCACTCGGTGAATAAGAATAAGGTTTCTTTTTTTTCTGGGATCACTTATCTCTGCATATATACTGTGCTGTGGTAGATGCTGTAATATGGATAAAAATATTAATGAGGATATAGGTAGAACAGATAATGTGAAATAGGAAGAAAAGTGACAAAGCGGAAGGGGAAACGGAAGGGGTGGGGGAAAGAAAGGAATGGAATTAATATGAGAAAATGAAAAATAATGGAAACAAAGTCTTTGTAGATACGGAGGGAGGGAGCGGTTGAAGGGAGGGCAAGGGAATGGGGAAAAAATAAGAACCAAGATGGATTATGCAAAGGCACAAATTTCCGACAATGAATGTCATTATATTGTATACCTTATGTGTACAAATAAAAGTAAATTTTAAAAAAAGACAAAACTGGAACTAGAGTCAAGTTTTCTGTCTCCCTGGAAAATATATTCTTCTAAAAATAAGAAAATTTTAAAAAGTTAATGAGGAACTAAGTACTACTTGATGAGCTTGCAATGTATCTTTCCCTTAAAATCAGGGTGTTACCAAAGAGGAGCTAGGACATATTGTACAGTTCAAAATACAAGTGTTCTTACCACATGCCACTGATGGCACTTCATTCAATACTCATCATATTAAAAGTTGTGCCCTTCTGTTATATGAGGTAAAGGAAAGTAATTGCACAGATTGCAAGCCCGGATCTCATGCTATATTTGACAATGCAATGCATAGGCAAGAAGTCTGATATCTTTGAGTATGTCATGTATATGTTATCTCTTTCTGCTGATGATCCTTTGCTCACAAAATGTGCTCAACAGATATCTGTAGGTTGACAGCAAACTGTACAGCAAAAATATGACAATATATTTTGGGAAGTTATACATCATAACCCCATACATAAAAGTGCATAATTAAAATTTTTGAGGTCTAAAAACATCTAAATAAACCATCCACACCAGTGAGGTTGGAATTCTATTATCACTACATACCTCCTGACAACTATAATGCAAGGATATGTGTGAAACCTATTATGATCATAGTAGTAGATGATGGAAATCAATGCAATTCAGAATTATTTCTAGAGCCTCAATTTTACAACATTCTGAATCTCTTAGTTCTCTTAATGTAGCATGTAATAGCAGATGGAGTAGTGAGATTGATCTCATTTTTGTCTTGTTCCCCAACCACTCTGATTAGGGTTGTAATGGGCATTAAAATGCTTACATTTCAAATATCAGACAATGGTAGGAAAAAGAGAAGAACATCCTTTTTCTATGCCTAGGATTATCTATTCCTGAATAATGGTATTAATTATATAACAGAACATGTATTTTTCACTATGTAATATAATTTCTGTGAAGGTTGATTCCAAAATTAAAACAACAGCAGCAAGGAAACAACAAAAAGTAACACCAACCCCAAACAAAAAACTGGACAATTTAGATTAGCTGGTCATACCAAGCCATTTTTCTTGTGATATTCATGATAGCTGATAAACTGCGTTGGCTTCAAATCTGTCTAGAGGAACTTTCTTTCCAGATAAAATGCAAAGGAATTGTGTCAGAAGGTGGGAGAGAACCACCATCTTCCTAAATGCCTTGATTTACGGATATGTTCTTCATGGATTTAAGATATTATTCTTATTCTCTCATTGAACCAAAAGCAAATAAAATAAATTCATAGCCATGAAATGTCTATCATCTTTGTCTTTTCAGGTGGAGATTATGGAATTTACAATGGCTGATTTGCTCATAAGGAAATTTCATTGAACTGACATTTACCATTGTCATAGTTTACATAAAGTAGGCTTAAATGATTAATATTAAACATATTTTTAGACATGTCTGGGTAAATGTAAAATGATTTGTTTTATTACTAAGTTGGAATTAAAATAATGAGATCAACTGAATTAAATGACAAAACATGATAAAAATACAAATTAAGAAAAGTATGACCCCAGCAACACATATTAAGAAAATACTATACAAATGAGTATCATTGGGAAAAAGAAACTTGTATTCTTGTTCCACTCACTGGAAGGGAGCGGGGGGGGTGAGAAAAAGTAAGGGATGAAAAAAGAAAAGAAAAGAGAGCAAAATATAATTAATATTTATTACATGCATGTACCAACTCCCCACAATAATTGTAACTGTTATGTGCTGCAAACATGTTATAATAAAAATAAACTTAATGCCAAGAAAATTACTTGACTTTAGAAGAAAAGAGAACAAATGTGGAGGGCTAGACTCCCATTGTGATGGGTGGGTTTAATCATTTCTCTCTCGTGACTGATTATGTCCTATGACATCCTCACTGGGAAGGGTAAGCTAGATCCTTAGCTTCCAGTCACTCTTGATAGCAAGGCCAGAGTCAAGCCTCACTGACTTGCTATTTATTTCTTTTGAGATTCTTTGTATTTGTATGCATCATCTTATGGTAATACTTACCTTTGGTTGACTTACCTCTTTGTTTTCATCTGCCTAAACACAGATTCTTGTTATCAGGCTCTGTTCTTTAAAGGTCTTCAAATATCATTACTATATAGAAATGTCATGCATATCAGTCATAAGGCAACCAAAGTCAGATGGTACACATATGTAGGAATGGAAGAGTAAAACCTACTACATGATTTAAAGATCCATAGTAAGAAATACAGCCTTGATGTGTGTTTGTGTGTGTGTCTAAAAGAGAGAAAGATGTATGTCTTAAAATGATTTTATGCAGTATGATAGTGATGAGTTTGGCATATACCTATTAATAAAACACAGCACAGTGGTTCAAATACTTTTTTAAAAAATTTACTTTTGAAGAAACTCATGTGAACACTGGATCAAAAATGTATTTTCCCTGATTTGGACCTGGAAAAAACATTACAAATAGATTGGCGTGGAGAAGACAGATCAGGTGAGGCTTATTGGTAGCTAACCATGAACTTCCCTTTAAAAATGCCCAACAGACCTCATTTTGTTGAGGCACTCTGGAGAGTTAAGAGCATCTTAAATTCCTTTATTCTTTCTCCAAACACCAAAGTGTACTACTACCCATCATCAGGTACTAATGCCTACTATTTGATTATAGTACACTTGACTAATTATTTAAATAAAAAAGGATGCATAAAAGAACAACTAAGATATCTTAATACTTTCCTATCACAACAGTAAAATTACATTTTACAAAAAACAGGGAAAACTGGAGGTTCTTTATCCTTGGAACCAAAAAGACTTTTTTCAAAGGCAGTTAAAGATGACTTCTTCTTGAGGTCATAGCTTGGCCCTCTGCCCAGAGAGCTTCCCTTAAAGTATAAGACTCTTTAATCCTTAACACTTGGACCCCCGTCTATGGCTTTTAACTATCTATAGCCATGCAAGGCTAAAAAGGCTGTAACGTACTCCTTAGCAGTTAGACCTATTTTCCTGGGCTGTTTTCTCAATTCCAGATGGTAACAGGGATGAAAATATGTCTGAGAGCTATCAAAGTCTGAGGGAGATTCAATAGAAACTGAATCAGAGAATGAATTGTGAGATCCAAAATTTATAGCCTATTGAACATTTAATGGGTCTGCAAAAATCTGTGAGTTGCAAAACAAACAAAAAACAATTATCATTGAAAGGAAGGCTGTACTATTTCAGCTTGTTTTTATAATTCCAAATGAAGAATAGATAATCCAAGGTTATATAACACCTTAGAATTACCTTTCAACAATTAGAAAACTGGTACAACTTTCGACTTGTGTCTTTTAAGATTCACGAGTACAGTCTTTGATTTGGACTTTACTTAAACTGTGCTTAAAAATAAAGCACTGAAGGAAATCCTTTACCCACCTGTGAACCTATCTTAACATTAAAGTTCAAATTAGACTTAGACTTATCAGTGTGTGAGTACAGGGGGAGCAGGAGTGAAAGCTTGTAATGATGAATTCTGGTAGAAAACCACTCCCGTCTCTTGAGATGAGACTGGTTCTTAAGAGTAGCGATAACATGCTATTTTGGGATCTGTGTGTGGGTGAGTAAATTTTCTGTGGGGAAAAAAAGTAATAAAATCCAAAGGATGGCCACAAATCTATCTAGATTACCATGGAGATGACATTTGTATCATTCTTCAGATGGTGTCACCATTATTTGCTCTAGTTCACTATTTTAGATATTTCATGTTCAACTTACTCTTGGCGAACCTGTGCAAACAGTATTATGTGTTGTGATCATATTTTTGCCATAAGGATTAGTGAGAGTTGTTTACTTAAAAAATAAAAAAGAACACAAAGTCAACAACATGTTGGTATACACTATTTATTCAGCAGTCACTTACTATAGGTGCTGTCCTCGTCTTTGGTGCCATCAATGGTTCCATCTGCCTGCAGCTGCAAGTGGTAGCCTTGTCGGCTGTACAGCTTGGTAACTATACCCTTAAGCTGTGGCTCTGCAAAGAGAATAACGGTTTGGATCAGTTGATATCTGTGTATAAGAAGTTGACGAGACTCAGAATACAGAATTCCAAGTTCATCTGCAAATTTTAGTGGAAAAAGTCAAACCACACTTTGAAAGAGTCCTGTGGGAGAATGACAACACATACACAAATTCCAGGTTTCAGAAGAAATCTCTGAACAAGGAAAGAAACATTTCATTTCTACCTCGCAATACTGGTAAAAGCCCCAAAGCTTCTGAGTGCAGCCAGATCCTGACAGCTTATCCTTTAGCTTAAAGTGTGGGGCTCTATCTCATTGAACATTCCAAATGGGTTGGCAAATGCCATAGTCTGTCTTTTCAACAATGTGCCACTTTTCAAGTACAGATAGAAAAAGGAAAATTACAAAGAAAATTCAGAGTTGTTTGCCATTCAGGGGTCAAAACCCACTAGCAAAGATTTCCTTCACAATTACAACAATTTGAATGAATAACCCCCCCACCTAAGAAGGCTAAAAGTGCAAAAATAACCTCAAAACTCATCAAAGAATCTGTGTTTAGAAAACTGAGGCTTCTATATAAAAAAGGGTGGACGAAGATACAACAACCATCACCATCTCCTATCATATGAATTATTTTTAGGGAAAATTGATTTGAAAAGAGGAGGGTTTTTGTTGATGTGGAAGAAAGAAAATTAGTTCATTCTTATTTTCAAATTTAATATCAGAAATATGATTACCCAAAACATGGGTTCTTAATTAAAATGATTTTAAATTATGAATCACCATAGATTAATCAAGCATCCACTTTACCCATAACAGCCATGCTATCCAAAATTTTGCTTTTAAGACACCTGTGCTAAAATAATGCTTATGTGATTATTCGAGTCACATAATCATGCTTTGGGACTGCTGAAGCCTTTTTAAAACAAGCCTAATTTACAACTAATGCAATACAAACTTTCTACAAACAGTAGACCTTTGACTGCCTTTCCATGCCAGGATGTGTAGAACACATAAGTAGAGAAATAATAGGTTGATGAGGAAATCTGATTTGTTGTAATATTTATCTGCGAAAAAGTAAGAAAACAGTGCAAATGATTCATTTGGTTAAGAATGTCAAATGCGCCGCATGTCCCCCCACCAAGGTCTAACTTGTCGCAACCTGACACCTACAGCTGTCTGAATTTCCCATCACCAGAATATCGTGGTGCTCTTATCACTGAAATGGTTCAAAAGAGACCACGATCTACCTTGTTCACTACTAAGTTCACTCTTCAACCTTGCATTTTCATACCAAGTAACTACAGTTCTACTGATCTAACCAGCTCACTGAACTCTTTTGCCGCAAGACTCTAGAAATTCACCTCCCCCCAGCAAACATTTCAAAGCTGCACCACAAGTTAATGTCTGTCCCCAAAAGCTTAAAAGTACGCGATTCAAAGAAAGGGAATGCCTAGACAGGGGAAGCCCACATCCCTCCGGGGTGAAAGCCGCAGAGGAAGGGTCTGACAGGCAAGGAGAAAGAAAAGAGAGGGATTCCCCGGGTTTTCCTGGGGGAGTGGGGGAGTGGTGTCTGCCCAGCTTGCTCTTGCAATTTCCACGCCACACACTACACAAATGATCATGTCTCGGTAACGCCTTCCCAGAGCCCACCGGCGCGCGTGCACGCGCGCGCACACACACACACACACACACACACACACACACACACACACACACACACACACACACATGGCGACATATCTGAAGCTGCGTCTGCGCCTCCTGGGCAGGGCATGCCCCCAGGCTCTGCGCCTGTCCCGGGGCAGTTGCAATGCAGCAAGCCTGTTACTGTCACGAAGGAGGTAAGAAAGCAATCGTCTTCCCACGCACGCACACCGCCTAGGTGGCCTCATCCGAACAAGAGGAGCTACAGACAAACTTACCTACGCTTACATACTCGCCCCCAATCCCTTCCACACTCATTAAGTACGGAAAAAAAAAAAAGCTAAAGCCCCTTCCTACCTGGTCTCCTTCTGCGCCTCTTCTTGGACCCAAAGAGTTTGACCCGGGAAAAGACATTTAACTTGTTTTTGTCGCAGCTGGTCTTGCCTTTGCTGGGGCTGCTGACACACTTGCAGGCGTTGGATTTCTCGCGCTCGCGGGCTTGTCTCTTCTGACGGATCAGAGAGCTGGCGATTGCCGCAGCCATGGCCACGACGCCCACCACCACCACTTCTTCTGCTGTCCCTCTCTGGGTTCGCCTCCTCCTCCTCCTCTTCCTCCTCCTCCTCCACCTCCTTCTTCTCCGCCGCTCTCCCGCTGTCTCGC